TAACTAATCCACTTCTCATTGCATTAGATTTTTTGGCGCAACTGTCGTGGTAAAAACTGGCCTTGCAACTGTTACATGACACATAATTAACAACCCCTTTTTTACAATAAAAACAATATTTTTCCTGAGGACTCATTCTTTACAATTTGATGAATATCTACTTGTAAAATCTAAATTAGGCAAAAATGCACCCTCTTATATTTTCAAATTTTTCTGGAAAACTAACTAGAGGGAAAATTATGAAATTTTCAGGAAAAAAAAAAAAAAAATTAGGAGTTCATTATACTAAAATTTCAAACCTTTCCAATCAAAAATAATAGAATGAGAAATCAATGAAAATTTACTTGCTAAATCTAAATTAAGCAAAAATGCACCATCTTACATTTTGATATTTTTCTGAAAAACTACTGAAGGGAAAATTATAAAACTTCCAGGAGGAAAAGAGGAAAGTTAGGAACTCATCACACTAAAATTTCAATTTTTTCCAGTGAAAGATAATTGAATGGGAAATTAAATTGTAAAATGTAAATTAGGCAAAAATGCACCCTCTTACATTTTAATTTTTTCTGGAAAACTAGTAGAGGGAAAATTATGAAAAACTCAGGGAAAAAAGAGGAAAGTTAAGAGCTCATTATATTGAAATTTCAAACTTTTGTAGTGAAAAATAACATGATGGGAAATTAATGAATATCTACTTGCAAACTCTAAATTGGGCAAAAATGCACCTTCTTATATTTTCATATTTTTCTGGAAAATTACTGGAGAGAAAATTATGAAATTTTCAGGAAGAAAGGAGGAAAGTTAGGAGTTCATCATACTAAAATTTCAAACTTTTCCAGTGAAAAATAACAGAATAGAAAATTAATGAAAATAAAATTGCAAAATCTAAATGAAGCAAAAATGCACCCTCTTACCTTTTTTTTTTTTTTTTTCTGGAAAATAACATAAAGGAAAATTATGAAAATCTCAGGAAAAAAAGAGGGAAGTCAGGAGCTCATCATACTAGATTTTTAAATTTTTCCAGTAAAAAATAACAAAATGGGAAATCAATGAAAATTTACTTGCTAAATCTAAATAAAGCAAAAATGCACTCTTTTACATTTAGATATTTTTCTGGAAAACTAGTGGAGGGAAAATTATGAAAATCTCAGGGGTAAGAGAGGAAAGTCAGGAGCTTATCATACTAAAATTTCAAACTTTTCCAGTGAAAATAATAGAATGGGAAACAATGAAAATCTACACCATTTCAACCTCAATTTCGGAAAAAGTAACTTTTATTTAGGAAAATGTGAAGTTATTTTCGGAAAAAATCAAATTAGAATTTTCTTATTCCGAATTTGAATTCACTTTTTCCGAAATTAACTTTACTTTTTCTGAAATTAATTCGATTTTTTCCGAAAATGACTCTTTCCTAAATAAAAGTTATTTTTTCCGAAATTGAGGTTGAAATGGTGTAGTTGCAAAAATGCACCCTCTTATATTTTCATATTTTTCTAGAAAACTATTGGAGGAAAATAATGAAATTTTCAGGAGAAAAAGAGGAAAGTTAGAAGCTTATCATAGTAAAATTTCAAACATTTCCTGTTAAAAATAGCAGAATGGGAAACTAATTAAAGTCTACTTGTCTGACAGTACAGTGACCTAATAAACCACAATGGCAACAATTAGTGTCCTATTTGTGATTGGTTTTTCAAAATTCATATTGAAAATGAGCAAGAATATGGCGGCTGGCTTATTTTTAGATTCTGTTTTAAAAGTAAGCAAGAATATGGCGGAGTGATCTCTAATGCCGCCATTATAAACGCCTTATTTCTGATTTTTTTCAGGTTTGGTTTATTCATCTTCAGATAAATCAAGGTAACTACTATCTGCAAGATAAATTTATTGTTCTATAATCCTGTTGGTCGGCAGATAACTGGCCAACCAATAGGATTACACATTGCATTATCAGAAGGTGAATTAAGCAATTCGAAACAGCGGATAATTCAAGATGGCGACGTGGGCATAACAAACTTGACGACCGTGAAGGTGTCTTTACATTCAATTCCAATTGATTGGATTGGATGTAAACGTGCCTTTACGGTTGTCAGGTGTGTTATTTCCACGGTGCCATATTGAATTGAGAAAACGTCAAATGGTTAGCCCTTAGGGGGTGTTTTTTTTTTTTGAAAAGAGTGAAGCGGCTAAATCTAAAAAGCTGGATTTAACTGGAAATTAGATAAAATTAAAAGATTGCCTTATGGGCGCCAAAAAAAATGTATATCTATCTATTTTTTGACAGGCTGAGAAAAAGAGATGGAAATATACACAGTGCACCATTAGATTAGACCGATGACAGTTTAGAGTTCAGATTTGCGGTGATTGGTTGAAACAAGTTTTATTTTGTATTTCTTTGTATAAACGTTTTACATATTTCTTATTTTATTTCATTTCTTGTATAAGGCCAGATTTATTCATTTTCAAATACTGGTAAATATGTGCAAGATAAATTCACCGTTCTATACTTCTATTGGTCGACCGATGGGATTACAGGACTAGAACCCTGTAACGAATAGAGTTTTCTCTGTCTTTATTGACTTCAAAAAGAGAGAAAAAGATAGCAAGTGCCATAGTGATGGGAATCAGGATTTTTATCAATTTCAGAGTCCCAGCTTAAATTGTATTTTCATTAGTTAGATTGCTTTTACCTCACCAGTTTATTAGAAAATGAATAAACTAGCCTTTAGAGGGTGAATTTTAAAGAAAGAGTGAGACAGCAAAGTCCTAAAAAGCTGGATTTATACCAAGTGATTAGATTGTCTGGTAATGGTAAACAGATGACGTCATCAGGAGAACCTAATGGAGGTTCGCATTATCGTCATTAGTCATTGAAGTTATCTGGTCACCTACCTCTTTTAAACAACCTTGGGTTTGGATTTTTACCAAGGTTTTTTGAGAGAGGTAAGTTGCCTGATTACTTTATGACGTCATCTGTGGTGTTGCAACATAATGCAAATCTCTATATAAGGCACCCCAAATGCGTCATCAAGTTACCTATTACCAGACAACCTATTAACTTTAGGAATTTTAGGTTTATTTTCTAAATTGAAAGCGAATTCTATTGGAAGGGTTAGTGCGCTCTGAGTTTCTTTTTTTATTAGCTTGTATAAGAAAGAGATAAAAATACAATTTTTCTGGACTGATTCCAATAGAATCCGCTATAAATAAAATTGTGTGACGGCAAAGAAATGTATTTCTGTCTGTTTCATTAACAAGCTGAGAAAAAGAGATGGAAATAAACTTAGTGCACATTAAATCTACCAATCGAAAACGCCATTTTAGATCAGGCCGATGACAGTTCAAAGTTCAGACTTGCAGTGATTGGTTGAAAATAATTTTATTTTGTATTTCTTTGTATAAATAAACACCCTATATTTCTTATTTTATATTCTGTATACAACCCAGTTAAATCATATTCAGATAAAGTTACTGGTAACTATCTGCAAGTTAAATTTACTCTGCAATGAAAAGAGATATTTTCTCTGTCTCTATTAGTATTTCCTCTCTATTGAAAATACAGAAGAAGATAGTGATGGGGATCACGATGTATAGGTATCCTTTTCAGAGTCGCAGCCCAAATTGCATTTTTATCTGTCAGATTGCATTGTCTGACAGTTTATCAGAAGGTAAATAAATCGGCCCTTAATACCGCTAGATCAATCGTTTGTTAAAGTCCTTGTTAGTAGTTATCCAAAACTTTAAATTGTGTCAATGTCAATATGATATGGTTTTTGTGTGGCACAATCTAAGGTTTTTGTTAACTAACAAGGACTTAACAAACGATTAATCTAAGGGCCTAGTTATGGATTGGTAATGTCAATTTTGGTTTCACCAGCAGGATAAATTTGGCAAGAACGTTACCAGTCGGTTAATAATTTGGCTCTTAGGGGGTGAATGTCCTAAAAAACTGGATTCATACCAAGAATGGTTCATACCACTGTTAATACACAGGAAATTAAATAAAACTGAAAGATTGCCTTATGGGCATCAAAGAAAATTTATTTCTGTTTCTTTGACAGCCTCAGAGAAAGAGATGGCAATACACTCAGTGCGCATTAAATCTTTAAATCCAAAACGCCACTGGTATCTTGTCTAAGACCCGGTTTGTTCATCTTCAGATAAACTTGCTGGTAATTATCTGCAAAGTTTTATAATTCTATTGGTTCTATGAGATTACAGATTGCGTTTTTATCTGTCAGAATACCACTATATGAAATACCTTATTGAGTCACTATATCTGACAATACAGTGACTTAACAAACAATGGCGACAATAGAGGTCCCGCCGCCATTTTGTGTCCCACTTCTTGCTAATTTTAAATATGAATATAAAAAATTTGAATTTTCATCCATAATAAAAACTTTAAAGCAACGCATTTGATGACTATTTATTATGAATGTCCATTTAAATCCTATATATTCACATATTCAAATTTACTAAAGGGTAGGAACAAAATGGCGACGTTTTTCATATGAATATATAGAATTTTAAAGAACCAATGAAAAAGAAGACCGCAATTTACGGCGCCATCTATAAACCAATAGCTGAAGCTTGCAGATACTAATCAATAATACTGAAGTGAAACCTGTATAGATTATTACTAGCGACATCTATGAAACAAATTGCATAACGCCATTCAAAAATTTATCAACCATTACAGAAATCTGTAATGAAATTATTTGAAAATTGTTTAAATTATTATTATTGTTTTATAATGTTTATAATAATAAAAAAGGGAAACTATAAAATCTATTCAACAAAAGCCACACAGTTATAAAACCTTTCAAAATAAGCTATTATCCAATAGACATGAGAACCGTTTCAGAAGTAACTTCAAGTCGCTCATCTATTTTTCAATAAGTTGAACCTTTATTCTAATGGACAAATGAATTGATTGACTTTAAATTACCGTTCTAGAACGGTTCTCATGTCTATTGGAACAGAGCTATATAGGAAAACATCAAGACAAATTTAAATATCCTTTATTGCAAATACAATTAAAATTAACAAATAGTTATAATATAAAAAAATACAATATTAAAAACTAAAAAATAAAACGGTAATTTTTAATTAATACTGTAAACCATATTGAATATGAAACAGTGCAAGTTTAAACATCAATTTAGAATTAACACTAAAAACTAATAATATTATTACACATCTATTTTTATAATATAGTACAAGGAGATACATTGAGAATCACAATTAATAATATTTCAATTCTATATTTTTCAAAAATTTCTCTAGTAGAAAAACAACAACCTCTCCTGGTGACTGGCCGACAGCATGTGCCAACCCCGTTTGATGTTCAGATATTGCAAAATTGCTCTGATACAAATGATAAGTCCTAGAATTGAAATTGTTAATAATATTGAAAATTTCAAAATTAAATTGTACCAAAAGTCATAATCAGCCACCATAACCAGCTGTTGTCCTTTGAAGCCAACTCAGTGGAATGTTGGACGATAAAAGTCCATTTGGCCAAGGACAAACCAAAGCCGGACAATGCACCATATCTTGAAGCGATTGTGTGGCAAAAGCACATCAGCAGTAGAAATCCAATCCAGTTAAATATGAAGGCAACTATAATAAGTGATTTTGTAATGTTTTTATGTTTACAAGTATTACTTACCAAAAAATGCAATGTAAAACATGAAGTCGGTACCCAAAAGAGTAGTGTCAACGTCCTCATTGGCCTCATTATCAATGGGCATCAAGATTCTTTGATTGGGAGGAGTTCTGAATTGAGAAGGCTACAAAATTCTTAATATGTTTAATTTGCTTTGTAAAAATTATTTTAGCTTACGTCGTTTACAATGGGAACCCCTAAATCTTCCAAGTGTTTTTCGCGTTGCACCTCTTCATAGGTGGGCAATTTGGTTGTTTGGGTTGCCACTTCGTAAGGGGGTGGAGCGTTATAATCAGGCTAAACAATGCACAATTTTAATTTTATATATTAGACCGGGAGTAAGACAGATATGAGTATGCAAAATGTGAAGACCGGCAAAAATGCTCTTTGTATTCTTGTGATTCTAAAGAATAGGAAAGTACATCTTGCCGGTAGCTGCAGTGGTTCCTAACTTTCCTGCCATCCCCCAATGCAAAGTTATCCAACGACGACTGAGCAGGGGCTTATTTTTGACCTTTCCTGTTTTTGTAGTTTTGAAAAATCGTGAAATTTGTGAAAAGTCTCAACCTGGGAACCTATTAGAAAAAGAGGAAGCACAATAGATCTATTCAGGTCGCAGTGCAGAAAGGTCCATCACCTAAATGTCCCAAACACAATCTAATTTAATCTAATCTACCAGACAACCTATTAACTTTAAAAACCTTGAGGACATATAAAGTTGTCTAAGGCAGGTGACACACTGGAAAAATAAGTTTTATTATTATTAAAACTATTTCCAAATTTGACTTTCTGTTGTCTATTGGTTAGATATGACTGAAACCATTTCAACACTTTGCGACCAATACTAATGCTTTTCAACTTTTCTATTAACAGTCTCAAATGCTCTTTTAAAATCAAGAAATACTGCCAAAACAAAATTACCCCTATCTATCTCTTTCAAAAAACTATCAGAAATATTAATAACTACAGACTCACACGAATGACGTTTCCGAAAACCCGACTGATTCATAACCAAAATGTTATTCCTATCACAGTGATCTTGTAATTGACTTTTCACAGCCAGTTCCAATACTTTTTCATAAACCTCAACAGTATTTATTGGTCTAAACTTAAGTGATATTAAATTACTTAAGTAGGTACCAGTGAAATTACTTGAAGTAAATATTTTCAATTGAAGTATTTTTAAATACTTCAATATTTACTTGACGACTAAATGAAGTTTTGTCTATTCATCGAGTGACGTTATAAACACATGCAAAACCTAATCAAACTGACGCAGCAATAGGTGTGAAAACGCAAAAACAATATGATAATGTCGATAATAGCTCTGTTCAAACCGACCTAAGAAACCTTCTAGAACGGTAATTTCCAGTCGATCAATTCATTTGCTAATGGTTCTCATTTCGGTTGCTAATATATGCAGCAAGAATCAGAAAATGCGCACCAGCGCCGGCTGTTGGGCTCAGTTTGTGCATATGACGTCACAATGCTACGAGTGGGAACTTTATACCACGGTATCTTCGCAACGGTTGGTCGTAACCTAGTGCCGTGTGAACATTTTTTCTTGGATTTTTTTTTTCTAAAACTTTTATTTTTCGGTCACCCTCCCTTTAAGATTATCGATAGCAATAATTGAATTTGTTAGTTTAATTCGAACAATACTTGAAATAAAAAATATTTTAAGTACGCAAGTTTAAGTAAATACTTAAACTTGACTCTGACTTTTGTGGAATTTGGTACTTGTCTTGAATTTGGTACTTGTACTTGAATTTGGTAGGTACTTGTACTTGAATTTGGACAATTCAAGTCAATTTACTTGATATTTTAAGTATTTCCTTCTGTACTTATACTTGTACTGGTACTTGATTTGTATTAAAAAAAAACTTGTACTTAATACTTAAGTACTTTTTCATGGTACTTACAACAGCTCTGCCTACCTACTTACTTACCTTTATTTTGTTAGCAGTTAGGTATTTTTATTCACAAAACACTGAACAGGAACTAAACAATATTCGAAATACAAAAATTTCCTAATTTCCTATAATAATTTCAGAAAATTTTCTATAATTTCGAAAAATTTCCCAATATTTTGAATAATTTCCTAACAGTTCCTGACATTTCCCAAAACTTCCAATAATTTCCTATAATTTCTGAGAATTAACATAATAATTTGTGACAATTAACAGGAAATTTCTGTAATTTCTCAACATTTCCGGAGATTATTTTGAGATTTGTACACCTATTTCCAACCGTGAGGTACAGGGAAGGTCAAAAATAAGCCCTTGTTCAGTCGTACATCTCTCAATCTTTTTTTACTTGTGTATATTTTGGAGTAGAATTGCAAAAATATCCAACAAGTGGTAGGTAATTTATTCGGAGTGCTTGAGAAGAAAGCTTTAGGAACAACAATAGGAATTATCGTGAAATGACTTAAAATTATGATATTTTCAATATAACTTTGCATTGGATAGGAACCACTCCAGCTGCTGGCAAGATGTACTTTCCCATTCTTTAAGATCACAGTAATACGAATTTGAGCATTTTTGCCAGTTACATTTTGCATACTCAACTACTTGTATTACCTTTGGTGGTGGTATGTCTTCCATAGAAGAGCTGGTGGCCATAAGCCTGACCACATCCATGCTATCAACAGATCCTGGTAATAAGATTGGGTTTATGGTTATTACAGAGGAAAGGTCGCCCTGGCTGTTTGAGGCCCGGATGTTGTTGGTTTCGTTGGTTGTTTGCGGTATTTCTTGAGGATGTTGAGCGGAAGCCTTGAAATGGAAATTGTCAAGGATTTTTTTATTTATTTTATATATTTTATTTGAAATTTTCATTGGTTTGTATGGGTTGTTTTCATTATCATATTCCGATGTAAATGCACCCAAAGTTATTCAATGTAATTTTATAGTTGACTTGATTGTTCATAGATGGCGCTGCCTATCATCACAATGAAATTAGCTCTGTTTACATCGCATATTTAATACCGAAAATTTGTTTTTGTTTCAATAATCCCATAACTTGTTCATATACAATATCTTCTAAAAACTTCTTTACATTGTATATTACATTAAAAAGCTATAATATGTTGTTTGAAGCTGATACAAATAAAATGACTCATGTTATCATTTATCTATGACCTATATATCTTACAAACATTGTTGGTTATCAAGCTTATCATGCAATTTTCTATTAACCTTATCAATGTTTTGATGATGATGAGAAAAACAGCCACTAAAAAGCGTTTAATTTGTAATAATTATTACAATAATTGAATACTTGTGATGAATTATTAAATTAATATCACTCACCATTTCCTCAATACTAGTTTCATTTTCTCTAGGTGGACTGGGCGGTGGAGTTTGGCTCATGTTTCCGGGTTAAATTAAACGAGTACAAAACTCTCTATTCCATGTCTTTTCAATAAAATAAATTATTAATAACCACTTATTTATAATAATCAATAAATAAACAGCTAGAAAATGAACCTTTGTAAGCAATAATGGAACCTAAATTTATTGCCTTTGGGTAGATGCACTGTTGCCATTTGTTTATAAAACCCCTATTTTGCAGATTCCTGTATAAATTATAAATTTTCTTAAGTTACTTCACATTTTGCTTGATAGATGGCGCTAAGTGAGAAAAAAATAATTATATTACATATTTCTGTAATAATAAACATTTAGCTTTTGTTTACTAGATGCCGCTAGTAGCGGCAATTCTAGAAATCTGTTAAATTTTTTTTTAGAAGATAGTTTTAGCTTTTGTTAGTAGATGGTGCCACGTAATAAAATTTTATATTACAGAATTCTGTAAGAATATATTTTTTTTAAAATGGCTTTAGCTTTCCTTTGCTAGATGACGCCAGTAGTCTCAATCAAAAATGATAACGTCATCATAGATGCTTTCATTTAAAAAAAAAAACACTTTATTTGAAATCTCGATAACTACAACTCGTAGAAGAAAACTTTCTAAATAGACATGGTATATTTTCAAAAAAAAACACCATTAAACTATTTGTCTATACGACTGTTTTCCTAAGGAAATTTCAACTTATAAGTTGGAGAGAAAAACTCTATTGAATAATGATTGTCTTTAGTTGCGTGATGTAATTGAGTTTTTCTTGTTTTCCAGGTTCAATTGGCACCCAAGCAAATCGTGGTGCAAGGAAAAATAATCCAATAAGGCGGGAAACTGCGGGAATTTTTTGGGTAAGTCGTAGATCATTTTTTGTACGTTAAATTTCATTTAAAATTGGCTGGCAAATATCGAAATTTTCCTATGATTTCCTCACTTTCCTCTTTCTCCTCTGAAAATTTCACAATTCTCCCTTTGCCAGTTTTCCAGAAAAAAATAGAATGTAAATAGGCGAATTTCTTTTAATTTAACTAATTTTCAACAATTTGTCACTGGAAAATTTTGAAATTTTCCTATAATGAGCTCCTGACTTTCCTCTCTCTTTCCTCTGAAAATTTCACATTTTTCCATTCGCCAGTTTTTCAGAGAAAAAATAAAATTATAATAGGGTGAATTTTCTATATAATTTAACTAATTTTTAACAATTTTTCACTGAAAAACTTTGACATTTTCCTGTAATGAACTTCTGACTTTCCTGTTTCTCTTCTGAGAATTGCCTGTTTTTCGACACGGAAGCATCTATGGTGACGTTATCATTATGATGAAATTGCAGTTTTCTGTATATACTTCACCTGCTATTCAAATAGATGACGTCAAAATAAAATTACAGATTTCTGCAATAGAAATTGTTTGTAATATTTAAAGATTTCTGTATTTTATTGGATATGTTTTAAGCTGCTCTATGTGTTGCTTGATAGATGGCGCACGTAAAATCTTCTTTACTAATTACAGAGATATTTAATAGTTACAAATTTTAACTTTTGCTATAATAGATGGCGCTAACAGTAAATTTATTTTCACGTGTCTAAAGCTAGGATCTCATTCTAAATGATGACGTCACCATAGATGCTTCCATTTAAAAAAAAAAAATGCAATTTATTCGAAATTTCGCTAACTATAACTCGTAGGGGGAAACTATTAGGATAAAAGTTGTATGTTTTGACAAGTTTTACGGAAAAGTCCATTAAGCTATTTATCTAGGACTGACATTTTTCCAAATAGCAGATTTCCTAAGGAAATTCTTTTACTTAGCTAATTTTCAACTTTTCTTGGAGTTATTTTTTACTGGAAAATTAAAAAAATTTCCTATAATGAGCTCCTGACTTTCCTTTTTCTCCTCTGAAAATTTCAAAATTTTTCCTTCGTCAGTTTTCCAGAAAAAAAATAAAATGTAAGAGGGTGAATTTCCCTAAATTTGACTAATTTTCAACAATTTTTCCTAGAGTGATTTTTCACTAGAAAATTTTGAAATTTTCCTATAATGAGCTCCTGATTTTCCTTTTTCTCCTCTGAAAATTTCACAATTTTTCCTTTGTCAGTTTTCCAAAAAAAAATTAAATGTAAAAGGGTGAATTTCTCTAAATTTGACTAATTTTCAACAATTTTTCCTAGAGTGATTTTTCACTAGAAAATTTTGAAATTTTCCTATAATGAGCTCCTGATTTTCCTTTTTCTCCTCTGAAAATTTCACAATTTTTCCTTTGTCAGTTTTCCAAAAAAAAATTAAATGTAAAAGGGTGAATTTCTCTAAATTTGACTAATTTTCAACAATTTTTCCTAGAGTGATTTTTCACTAGAAAATTTTAAAATTTTCCTATAATGAGCTCCTGATTTTCCTTTTTCTCCTCTGAAAATTTCACAATTTTTCCTTTGTCAGTTTTCCAAAAAAAAATTAAATGTAAAAGGGTGAATTTCTCTAAATTTGACTAATTTTCAACAATTTTTCCTAGAGTGATTTTTCACTAGAAAATTTTGAAATTTTCCTATAATAAACTCCCAACTTTCCTTTTTCTCCTCTGAAAATTTCACAATTTTTCCTTTGTCAGTTTTCCAGGTAAAAAATAAAATGTAAGAGGGTGAATTTTTTTAAATTTGACTAATTTTCAACAATTTTTCCTAGAGTGATTTTTCACTAGAAAATTTTGAAATTTTTCTATAATGAGTTTCTGACTTTCCTCTTTCTCCTCTGAAAGTTTCACAATTTTTCATTCCCCAGTTTTCCAGAAAAAAAATAAAATGTAAGAGGGTGAATTTCTCTAAATTTAACTAATTTTCAACAATTTTTCTTGGAGTGATTTTTCACTGGAAAATTTTAAAATGTTCCTTCAATGAGCTCCTGACTTTCCTTCTTCTCCTCTGAAAATTTCACAATTTTTCCTTTGTCAGTTTTCCAGAAAAAAAATAAAATGTAAGAGGGTGAATTTCTCTAAATTTAACTAATTTTCAACAATTTTTCTTGGAGTAATTTTTCACTGGAAAATTTTAAAATTTTCCTATAATAAGCTCCTCACTTTCCTTTTCCTCCTCTGAAATTTTCACAATTTTTCCTTTGTCAGTTTCCCAGAAAAAAAAATAAAATGTAAGAGGGTGAATTTCTCTAAATTTAACTAATTTTCAACAATTTTTGCTAGAGTGATTTTTCACTAAAAAATTTTGAAATTTTCCTTTAATAAACTTCCAACTTTCCTTTTTCTCTTCTGAAAATTTCACAATTTTTTTCTTTGCCAGTTTTCCAGAAAAAAAAAAAAGTGTGGGGGTAAATTTCTCTAGGTGTAGGTGATTTTCAACAATTTTTCACTGGAAATTTTTGAAATTTTCCTATAATGAGCTTCTTACTTTCCTTCTTTTCCTCTGAAAATTTCATAATTTTCTCTTGGCCAGTTGTCCAGAAAAAAAATAAAATGTAAGAGGGTGAATTTCGCTAAATTTAGCTAATTTTCAACAATTTTTCTTGGAGTGATTTTTCACTGGAAAATTTTGAAATTTTCTTATAATGAGTTTCTGACTTTACTCTTGGTCCACTGAAAATTTCAGAATTTTCTCTTTGCCAGTTTTCCATAAAAAAAATAAACTGTAAAGGGGTGAATTTCCCTAAATTTAACTAATTTTCAACAGTTTTTACTGTAGTGATTTTTCACCAGAAAATTTTGAAAGTTTCCAATAATAAGCTTCGCACTTTCTTCTTTCTCTTCTGAAAATTTTACAATTTTCTCTTTGCCAGTTTTCCAGAAAAAAAAATTAAATATAAGACAGTGAATTTCCTTAAATTTAACTAATTTTCAACGATTTTTCCTGGAATGATGTTCCACTGAAAAATTTTGGAATTTTCCTATAACATAAAGAGCTTCTCACTTTCCTTTTTCTCCTCTGAAAATTGCCTGTTTTTCGAAACGGAAGCATCTATAGTGACGTCATATTTTTTTAATGAAATTGCAGTTTTCTATATATGTTTTGCGTGCTACTTAATAGATGCCGCCACATAAAATTACAGCTTTCTGCAATAAAAATTGTTTGTAATTATTACACATTTCTGTACATGCTTTGAACTGCTTTACGTGTTGTTTGATAGATGGCGCTCGTAAAAATCACATTTAGAAATTACAGAAATCTTTATGATTATAATAGTCTCAGATTCTGTAAATAGATATCGCTAGCAGTAATTTTATTTTCACATGTTTCGAGCTAGGATCTCAGTCCAAATTATGACGTCACCATAGATGCTTTCATTTTAATTTTTTTTAATTTATTCGGAATTTCGATAAATATAACTCAAAGAAGAAAACTTTTCGGACAAAGTTGTATATTTTAACGAGTTTCACAAAATTGATTTATTATATGTCATTTATTTGTAAACTAAGGTACAGATGTGGTTAGCAGTTACTATCTTGTATTTTTTGAATAAAAATGGCAACAGTGTTTTCTGTTCCGGAGCTCCTCCTAGGTTTGAAAGGAATACAACTATAACATTCAACCAACAGTCGATGTTTAAACGAGCAACGAAGCGTTTGTGTTTTATTTTCTCCCGCTGTTCAACCTAAAAAACTGTCGTTCCAATAGAGCTTCTCACTTTCCTCTTTATCCTGTGAAAATTTCAAAATTTTCCAGTGAAAAATCACTCCAAGAATACTGCTGAAAATTAGCTAAATTTAGGGAAATTTATCCTCTTAAATTTAATTTTTTTTTCTGGAAAACTGGTAAAAGGAAAATTGTAAAATTTTCAGAGGAGAAAGAGGAAAGACAGGAGTTTACTAGAGGAAAATTTTAAAATTTTTTTTTAGGCAAAATTGTTGAAAATTAGTTAAATTCAGGGAAATTATTCATCCTTTTATATTTATTATTTTTTTCTGGAAAATTGGCAAATGGAAAATTGTGAAATTTTCAGAGGAGAAAAAGGAAAGTTGGGAGTTTATTATAGGAAAATTTCAAAATTTTCTAGTGGAAAATCACTCTAGCAAAAATTGTTGAAAATTAGTCAAATTTAGGGAAAGTCACCCTCTTATACATTTTATTTGTTTTTTCTGGAAAACTGACAAAGGAAAAATTGTGAAATTTTCAGAGGAGGAAAAGGAAAATCAGGAGCTCATTATAGGAAAATTTCAAAATTTTCCAGTGAAAAATCACTCCAGGAAAAATTGTTGAATATAAGCTAAATTTAGGAAATTCACCCTCTTACATTTTATTTTTTTTCTGGAAAACTGACAAAGGAAAAATGGTGAAATTTTCAGAGGAGAAAAAGGAAAGTCAGGAGTTTATTATAGGAGAATTTCGAAATTTTCCAGTGAAAAATCACTCCAGGAAAAATTGTTGAAAATTAGTCAAATTTAGGGAAATTCACTCTCTTATTTTTTTGTTTTTTTTTTTCTGGAAAATGGCGAATGGAAAATTGTGAAATTTTCAGAGGAGAAAGAGGAAAGTCGGGAGCTCATTATAGGAAAATTTCAAAATTTTCCAGTGAAAAATCACTCCAGGAAAAATTGTTGAATATAAGCTAAATTTAGGAAATTCATCCTCTTACATTTTATTTTTTTTCTGGAAAACTGACAAAGGAAAAATGGTGAAATTTTCAGAGGAGAAAAAGGAAAGTCAGGAGTTTATTATAGGAGAATTTCGAAATTTTCCAGTGAAAAATCACTCCAGGAAAAATTGTTGAAAATTAGTCAAATTTAGGGAAATTCACTCTCTTATTTTTTTATTTTTTTTTTCTGGAAAATGGCGAATGGAAAATTGTGAAATTTTCAGAGGAGAAAGAGGAAAGTCGGGAGCTCATTATAGGAAAATTTCAAAATTTTCTAGCGAAAAATCACTCTAGGAAACATTGTTGAAAATTAGTCAAATTTAGGGAAATTCACTCTCTTATTTTTTTGTTTTTTTTTTTCTGGAAAATGGCGAATGGAAAATTGTGAAATTTTCAGAGGAGAAAGAGGAAAATCAGGAGCTCATTATAGGAAAATTTCAAAATTTTCCAGTGAAAAATCACTCCAGGAAAAATTGTTGAATATAAGCTAAATTTAGGAAATTCACCCTCTTACATTTTATTTTTTTTCTGGAAAACTGACAAAGGAAAAATGGTGAAATTTTCAGAGGAGAAAAAGGAAAGTCAGGAGTTTATTATAGGAGAATTTCGAAATTTTCCAGTGAAAAATCACTCCAGGAAAAATTGTTGAAAATTAGTCAAATTTAGGGAAATTCACCCTCTTATTTTTTATTTTTTTTTTCTGGAAAATGGCGAATGGAAAATTGTGAAATTTTCAGAGGAGAAAGAGGAAAGTCGGGAGCTCATTATAGGAAAATTTCAAAATTTTCTAGCGAAAAATCACTCTAGGAAACATTGTTGAAAATTAGTCAAATTTAGGGAAATTCACTCTCTTATTTTTTTGTTTTTTTTTCTGGAAAACTGACAAAGGAAAAATTGTGAAATTTTCAGAGGAGAAAAAGGAAAGTCAGGAGTTTATTATAGGAGAATTTCGAAATTTTCCAGTGAAAAATCACTCCAGGAAAAATTGTTGAAAATAAGCTAAATTTAGGAAATTCACCCTCTTATATTTTTTTTTTTTTTTTTGGAAATCTGACAAAGGAAAAATTGTGAAATTTTCAGAGGAGGAATAGGAAAGTCAGGAGCTCAATATAGGAAAATTTTAAAATTTTCCAGTGAAAAATCACTCCAAGAAAAATTGTTGAAAATTAGTTAAATTTAGAGAAATTCACCCTCTTACATTTTATTTTTTTTCTGGAAAACTGGCGAATGGAAAATTGTGAAATTTTCAGAGGAGAAAGAGGAAAGTCGGGAGCTCATTATGGGAAAATTTCAAAATTTTTTAGTGAAAAATCACTTCAGGAAAAATTGCTGAAAATTAGTCAAATTTAGGGAAATTCACCCTCTTACATTTTATTTTTTTTCTGGAAAACTGGCGAATGGAAAATTGTGAAATTTTCAGAGGAGAAAGAGGAAAGTCAGGAGCTCATTATGGGAAAATTACAAATATTCCAGTGAAAAATCACTCCAAGAAAAATTGTTGAAAATTAGTTAAATTTAGAGAAATTCACCCTCTTACATTTTATTTTTTTTCTGAAAAAATGACGAATGGAAAATTGTGAAGTTTTCAGAAGAGCAAGAGGAAAGTCGGGAGCTCATTATGGGAAAATTTCAAAATTTTTTAGTGAAAAATCACTTCAGGAAAAATTGCTGAAAATTAGTCAAATTTAGGGAAATTCACCCTCTTATATTTTATTTTTTTTCTGGAAAACTGGCGAATGGAAAATTGTGAAATTTTCAGAGGAGAAAGAGGAAAGTCAGGAGCTCATTATGGGAAAATTACAAATATTCCAGTGAAAAATCACTCCAAGAAAAATTGTTGAAAATTAGTTAAATTTAGAGAAATTCACCCTCTTACATTTTATTTTTTTTCTGGAAAACTGGCGAATGGAAAATTGTGAAATTTCTAGAGGAGGAAAAGGAAAGTCAGGAGCTCATTATAGGAACATTTCAAAATTTTCTAGTAAAAAATCACTCCAGGAAAAATTAAAAATTGCTGAAAATTAGTCAAATTTAGGGAAATTCACCCTCATACATTTTATTTTTTTTCTGGAAAACTGAAAAAGGAAAAATTGTGAAATTTTCAGAGGAGGAAAAGGAAAGTCAGGAGTTTATTATAGGAGAATTTCGAAATTTTCCAGTGAAAAATCACTCCAGGAAAAATTGTTGAAAATAAGCTAAATTCAGGAAATTTACCCTGTTACATTTTATTTTTTTTCTGGAAAACTGACAAAGGAAAAATTGTGAAATTTTCAGAAAAGAAAAAAGAGAATCAGGAGCTCATTATGGGAAAATTTCAAAATTTTCCAGTGAAAAATCATTCCAGGAAAAATTGTTGAATATAAGCTAAATTTAGGAAATTCACCCTCTTACATTTTATTTTTTTGCTGGAAAACTGACAAAGGAAAAATTGTGAAATTTTCAGAGGAAAGAGAGGAAAGTCAGGAGCTCATTATAGGAAAATTTTAAAATTTTCCAGTGAAAAATCACTCCAAGAAAAGTTGAAAATTAGCTAAGTAAAAGAATTTCCTTAGGAAATCTGCTATTTGGAAAAATGTCAGTCCTAGATAAATAGCTTAATGGACTTTTCTGTAAAACTTGTCAAAACATATAACTTTTATCCTAATAGTTTCCCCCTACGAGTTATAGTTATCGAAATTTCGAATAAATTGCATTTTTTTTTAAATGGAAGCATATATGATGACGTCATCAGTCATTTAGAATGATATCCTAGCTTTAGACACGTGAAAATAAATTTACTGTTACCGCCATCTATTATAATGGCAAAAGTTAAAATTATTGTAATTTTTAAATATCTCTGTAATTAGTGAATATGATTTTACGTGCGCCATCTATCAAGCAACACATAGAGCAGCTTAAAACATTTCCAATAAAATACAGAAATTTTTAAATATTACAAACAATTTTTATTCTAGAAATCTGTAATTTTATTTTGACGTCATCTATTGAATAGCAGTTGAAGTATATACAGAAAACTGCAATTCCATCATAATGATGACGTCACCATAGATGCTTCTGTGTCGAAAAACAGGCAATTCTCAGAGGAAAGTCAGAAGCTCATTACAGGAAAATTCCAAAGTTTTTCAGTGAAAAATCACTCCAAGGAAAATTGTTAAAAATTAGTTAAATTATATAGAAAATTGACCCTATTATTTTTATTTTTTCTTTGAAAAACTGGCGAATGAAAAAACGTGAAATTTTCAGAGGAAAGAGAGGAAAGTCAGGAGCTCATTATAGGAAAATTTCAAAATTTTTCAGTGAAAAATCATTCTAAGAAAAATTGTTAAAAATTAGCTAAATTAAGAGAAATTCGCCTTTTTACATTTTATTTTTTTTTCTGGAAAACTGGCAAAGGGAGAATTGTGAAATTTTCAGAGGAGAAAGAGGAAAATTTCGGTATTTGCTAGTCAATTTTGAATGAAATTTAATGTACAAAAAATTATCTATGACTCACTCAAAAAATCACTGCAGCTTGTTACTTCATTGGCTCAGTTTTCTTTGCAGCACGATTTGTTTGGGCGCCAATTAAACCTGAAAAACACAAAAAAAAGTAACATTACACAACAAAGTCATCATTATTCAATAGAATTTTTCTCTCCAACTTATAAGTTGAAATTTCCTTTAGAAATCTGCAAACTGCTATTTGGAAAAACGTCAGTCGTAGATAAATAATAATTTAATGGACTTTTATGTAAAACTTGTCAAAATATACAACCTTTATCCGATAAGTTTCCTTTCACACTTATTGAAATTTTGAATAAATTGCTTTATTTTTTTTTTAATGGACGTCATTATTTTAACTGAGATCCTAGCTTCAGACACGTGAAAATAAATTTACTACTAGCGACATCTATTTACAAAAGCATAAACTATTTGTAATTATTAAAGATTTCTGTAATTAGAAAATATGATTTTTATGAACGCCATCTATGAAGCAACATATTAAGCCGCTTAAAACATTTCTAATAAAATACAGAAATCTGTAATAATCACAAACAATTTTTATTAAGTACCACGTGAAACATATACAGATTTCTGTAATTTCATCAAAATAATGACGTCACCGTAGATGCTCTCGTTTCGAAAAACAGGCAATTTTCAGGAACGTAATCAAAACCCCACACAAACAAAACAAAAGTCTGACAGGTTTGTCATTCTTGTCAGCTGTTATCTTGTTGTTGACCACAAAAAGAAAAAGAAAATTTCAGTCAGTTTTATTTTGGTCGTTCGCAAGGTCGGTGGTTAATATACCTTTAATTGGAAATTAAAAATCCAAACTTAAACTGTTTTTCGCGTGGTGGTATTAAAGGTTATTGCGGTTGCTCACCTCAAAAATATTTTCTTCTAAAAATACTTCATTGTATATTGTGATGATCTACTAATTGGAATACCTAGATTTAAAAAAAAAAAACGTAAGATTTCTTTGTATAATTTGCTTAATTTTCATGTGCTTTGGTTACTGTACAAAGACTCATAATTTTTGCGCCCTATTAACAAACTCCTACCTTTGATTTTTCAAGTTTTGAAATACAATTTTCATTTTTCTGGTTACGAGTTAAAATTTCTATTAGAACAACCTTTTTGTGTACCTACTTTAAGGGGCGGTTTATTCACCTTCTGATAAGCTAACTGTCAGGTAATGCCATTTGACGAACAAAAACGCAATTGGTTGACCAGTTATCCACCCAACTAATGGTGTAAACTTATCTTACAGATAGCTACCAGTAAGTTTATCTAAAGATGAATAAACCGCATAATTTTTAACTAAAACATCATCAAATCTTTGGAAAAATCAAAAAACTAATTATTTTTCCCACTGTCATCATCTTCCTAGAATTATATAAAGCATCATTGGTTCTTTTAATTCTCAGAATTGAGTAAATTTCAAAAATATTCTTACCAATAACAAAGCATTAAAATTTGAAATAATTTGCATTATTTACAGGTTATCCTCGTTACCTTGATTTGTCTGATACGTCATTCATTGGACAACAAATACCTAATTAATGAGCCAAGACAACGCATTAGGAATCCTAATTAATTTGCAGTTGAGAAATTATTATTGCACTCGAGTCTATATTTGAACAAAACAAACTAGTTTCTACTTGGAAATATTAATCTAATACCTCAAAAAACCCGCCATTTACAGTTTTTTGGAAAGGACCCCGCACAAACCTTACGGAAAATGTGTTTATGTCAAATCGTCTGATTTTTTGATAATGTGTCAAGCTTGATGTCCTGAATAAAAGTTATCATTGCGCCAAAGCCCAATAATGAACAGTTTTTGAAATAAACGCCCTTTTGTACTCTCATAAATATAGGTAAATCTTATAGACAATGACATCAAAAAATTAATTGCCTACAGGTGAAAAATGCGCTGAAGCGTTTTCATTTTTTTAGAATCGGAATTGAACTGTATTGACAGCGTTTGACAGGTAAAAATAGATAGGTGAATTCCAAAAAGTTCAAAAGTTTCCCCACACTTAAACTTTTACTTGCAAAACTCAACATTAACCGTCCAGTTCCGCAACCGTAAATTGTTTTATAGTTTGATCCATTTTTTTTCCGATTCATAAAGTCTTTTTGATCATGGCAATGAGGAATATATTGCACTGTTTCATATGTCCTGCGGCACTTCCTCCCAGATTAATGGTGCGTCTTGTTGGAGATGAAAATGCCGATAAGTGTGCCATAGCTCAACAAAGGCGTCTAACAAACATCAGGCCTATCATAGAAATCAATGAACTCACAAGAATTTGTGCCAGCTGCAACAGATCCATTATTAGGGAAATAAATGCTCTTCAGCAAGATCCCGCTTGTTTGCGGCTCAATATTTTGACACAAAGTTCAAGCCATTCGTGTCTCATTTGCAACTCACCAAATGAACCCCGATTATCTACTGAGGGCAGGGTGAATATCTTCCTTAATAGGGACATATTATTATATGTTCCAGAATATGTCAAAAGTGGTGCTCACCATTTGGACGGAAACGGTTTTCTTCTGCAACGACTTCTGCCAGGTTTGAGATTTGTAAACAGGCCCTACATAATTCCAGGTCGAGAATTGACCTTTTCAATTTAGAAGCTTCTCTCTCTGGCGTCAGACTGTCAGATGCCAAAAGAGTATGAAAAGTATGAAAACAATGATTGACAGCTATTGACAATGGTTTGTTGACAAGAGTTTTATACGTGTGAGACTGGAAACTATTATTTCCTCGGTTTTTTCAAGGTTTTTTCCTAACAATGGTGATTGTGTGTAGTGTGCCTTTTCGTGAAAATAATTCCTATTCACCGGCGGACGTGTCTTTCCATAAGTTTTCATCAAATCCTACATTTGTCAAAATTTGGATACACAAAATCAGAACTGATACTCGCAAAAGTAAGGGAAATCCACGACCTATCAAGTATACAAAGATATCCACATTCAAGTTTAGTTTGCGGAAGCTGTTTGCTTCCCACATTTTCTTTCCAATTTCAAATTTCACCATTCTATGTCGGTCATTGTCATTTTCCATTCACTGAACAAAGATACCTAACTCATCGGTGGAGTCACCGATTAGAATAAAAACCAGGGGATTGCTAAACACTCTATACACTTGACATTGACGAGCAAGCAAATGTTGGCAAGAATCTGAATGTTTTCATACTTTATCGTCCATCTCTTTTAATTGAAAACGTCAATTGCAAAAGTTTTTGAAACACTTGAGAAATACAGCTAATGAACATCCCAAAATTGATAGCGAAGATTATTTTTCTGATGCAGACTTTGAAAGCATCGCCCCTATCACGAAAGTTCAGTTTAGAAGTTTATATGATCTTTGCAATCCTATACCGATAGAGAATGGTTATAGATATGTTTCCAGAAAAGATCTACTGGCCTTTTTGTGCAAAATGCGACAGGGATTGTCGGATAGTTTCGTTAAGGCTATTTTCAATTACAGAAGCCGTCAAACTGCAACTCTCGCGATAGCAACCGTGAGGCAATCTCTATTACAAAGATTTGTACTTCAAAATATCGCTTTTACAGAAATTGATTGCGCCGCATTTATTGAAACTCATGTACCATCGTCACCAAAAGTATCTGGGACACAAATAATACATAATAATCTCCTGGACTAATTCTACTATCATTCATTTCAATGCATTTGATTCATAGTTTGACAAATATTTGACAATAAAATTCATGTAATAGGACAAGAGCTAATGTGTTGCTGTCCCAGTTACTTTTCGTGACGATGGTACCCAATGACCTATTAACACAGATAGATAGAACAATAAACAATAATATCGGTTGACTACATGCCAGGAACCGCATCTCTCCCCACTACTTATTAATCCTTGTGTTATTTTGTATCTTTCTCTAACACGTGAAAAGCGATTATTTTTCAATGAAAATTAGCAACGCTGCAAAAAAATAAATCCCACCTCGAATTCCACTTTTCCACCAATCAGCGGCTTCTATTCAATTGTCATGTCAAAATGCGACGAGCAGGTATTTTATGACAATTTCCATTTGTCAATCAGTGCGCAGTGAGTGTATCCGCATCTTTTTCTAAAATTATGTGAAATATAAGGATAAAGATACACTTTTGTAGCACTGATTCTGGTTTCATTTTCAGAGTTGCCAAGTATGCGATAGTAAAGTGGGGGCGGAGTTAGCGGAATCATTTGAATCCCTACTCCTAGCCGCTTTCACAGCTCACCCCCCCTGGCCCATAAACATGTAGTCAACCAAAACAAAGCTATTTTATCAATGGGATGTTCTGTCTATCTGTGTTAATAGGTCATTGATGGTACCTCCCTTTGCGAATATACTTTACAATGAGAATCCGGGCACCTCGAGAGTTATTGCATATATTGATGGTACATATTCCTATGTTCCTAAAAGCTCCAACTTCCAGACCCTGCGGCAAACGTTTTCGATTCACAAAGGTCGTCATCTTGTGAAACCTACACTGATAGTAAAGTCCGACAAATACCATTTTAAAGTCACGTGATATTGGTGACAAAAAACGTATGTTCATTGATTATGTCGTTTATATCACCTACAAAAAGCTAATAGTGGTTAATTACTATTGAATTTTAAGATATGTTCACACTAGCATTTTACAAACGCGTTTCTGAAGTAGTATTGACCAATCAGATGGGAATTTTAATACTTAATACTTGCGAGACTCACTTTTGTCGCATCTGCTATCCCTTGTTTTAAATTCTGAATTTGAATTGGGTACCCGTTTTCTATTTGTTTACGAGTTGGAAAAAGGTTAATATAGTCAAAATTATTAGCTCTGTTTGTTCGTTGTATCATTTTCGAAAATAACTTTAACAAACTAATTGATGACAGTGACGGATTCTATTTCAGGTAAGAATATTATGAACAATAATTAGACACCAATTTTTTTGTCAATTTCACTATCACCGCTGTTTGAGATGTATTCAACAAGGATAGAGAAAAATCACGTGACTTTAAAACGGTATTTGTTGGACTATAGCACCAGACGGGTATATTCTGGCAATACAAGGTCCCTATTTTGCCGACTCGCGAAATAATGATGTGGCTGTCCTACGAAATGAGTTTGAATGTGATGCCGAAAACATGAGGGAATGGTTCCAGAACGGCGACATTATTGTGCTTGATAGAGGGTATAGGGATTCAATCAATTATTTCAAAAAATACAGTCTCATACATTTCAAAGTTTTCTTGGAAAACTAGTGAAGGGAAAATTTTGAAACTTTTCGCATATAAAGAGGAAAGTGAGAAGCTCATTGTCCCAAAATTACTAATTTTTCCAGTGGAAAATAACAATATAAGGAATATTGGAAATCAACCTACAATAACTGCATTAATTGAAAATACAGTCTCACACATTTCAAAGTTTTCCTGGAAAACTAGTGAAGGGAAAATTTTGAAACTTTTTGCATATAAAGAGGAAAGTGAGAAGCACATTTTCCCAAAATTTCAAATGTTTCTAAAGAAAATAGCAACATAAAAAATCAAAGTTTTCCTGGAAAACTAATGAAGGGAAAAATTTGTTTTTTATATGTAAAGAGAAAGGTTAGCAGTTCATTTTCCCAGAATTTCAAATTTTTCCAGTAGAAAATAACAACGAAAGGAATATTAGAAATCAACCTACAAAAACTTAACTAATTGAAAATACAGTCTCACACATTCCAAAGTTCTCCTGGAATACTAATGAAGGGATAAATTTGAAACTTTTTGCATGTGAAGAGGAAGGTGAGACGCTCATTTTCCCAAAATTTCAAATTTTTCCAGTGGAAAATAACAACATGAGGAATATTGATAATCAGCCTACAATAATTGAATTAATTGAAAATATAGTCTCACACATTTCAAAGTTTTCCAGGAAAACTAGTGAAGGGAAAATTTTGAAATTTTTTGCATGTAAAGAGGAAGGTGAGAAGCTCATTTTCCCAAAATTTCAAATTTTTCCAGTAGAAAATTACATGAGGAATCTTGGAAATCGACCTACAATAACTGAATTATTTCAAAAAATACAGTCTCATACATTTCAAGGTTTTCTTGGAAAACTAGTGAAGGGAAAATTTTGAAACTTTTCGCATATAAAGAGGAAAGTGAGAAGCTCATTGTCCCAAAATTACTAATTTTTCCAGTGGAAAATAACAATATAAGGAATATTGGAAATCAACCTACAATAACTGCATTAATTGAAAATACAGTCTCACACATTTCAAAGTTTTCCTGGAAAACTAGTGAAGGGAAAATTTTGAAACTTTTTGCATATAAAGAGGAAAGTGAGAAGCACATTTTCCCAAAATTTCAAATGTTTCTAAAGAAAATAGCAACATAAAAAATCAAAGTTTTCCTGGAAAACTAATGAAGGGAAAAATTTGTTTTTTATATGTAAAGAGAAAGGTTAGCAGTTCATTTTCCCAGAATTTCAAATTTTTCCAGTAGAAAATAACAACGAAAGGAATATTAGAAATCAACCTACAAAAACTTAACTAATTGAAAATACAGTCTCACACATTCCAAAGTTCTCCTGGAATACTAATGAAGGGATAAATTTGAAACTTTTTGCATGTGAAGAGGAAGGTGAGACGCTCATTTTCCCAAAATTTCAAATTTTTCTAGTGGAAAATAACAACATAAAGAATCTTAGGAATCAACTTACAATGACTGATGAATTATTTGAAAATACAGTTTCACACATTTCAAAGTTTTCCTGGAAAACTAGTGAAGGGAAAAATTTGAAACTTTTTATATGTAAAGAGGAAGGTTAGAAGCTCATTTTCCCAAAGTTTCAAATTTTTCCAGTGGAAAATAACAACATGAAAAATCTTGGAAATCAGCTTACAAAAACTGTACTTATTCATTATTCTTTTGAATTTTTTAAATTTGGATTTGTAAATCATAAAGTGTAATTTGGAGAGAATTTTTTTAATAAAAATGAATATCCAACATCCAACACAAAACTAGATTTTTTTTTTAATTACCATTTATTACTATTTCTTATATGTAATAAGAATGTGAGCCTCAGTGACGTCATGACCCTACAATTTTCTTTAAATTTCCTCACAAATTTCCCATAAATTCCTCTAAATTTCCCAAATTCCGATGAGTTCCTTCAAATTCCCCACTTTCTCTAAATTCCCCACATTTTTGGCAAAGAATTCCTAGGTGGTTTGCCCCTTGTGACGTCCCTTCTCTATTGATTTCAAAAAGAGAGAAGAAGAAAGCAAGTGCCATAGCGATAGAAATAATGTTATCTATTCATTAAAAAACAAAATTCTCCCTCCCTAGACAAAGATGGCATACTTACATCTCATATTGTTTGTTTCACCAGCTCGAAACAACCCGCGATATACGTCAGTATAACAGGTTGTATAATATATACCTTTCTCTAAACGCTTTGTTTGTCCCCCTATCGAAAGTGTGGTTATGTGTGTGACGTCAAACTAGTGCCTAATTTCAAATAGGTTCTAAAGTTTATTTACAAAACTGACATCGTGAATGTTCGGGTGCGCTCGTTACGTTTAGGGTTGGCAAATGACCGGTCAAATATCTTTCATGCAATTGACCTAGTATTTGACCGGTCATTGGTCAAATTGCTCTGGTCAAATACTCTAGTAGTGGGGAGCGTGATGCTATGACGGTAGCATTATTGCCATCCATTTATTCCTGTTCTGACCACCAGGTATTACATAACAAGGGTAAATACTCAAAGAAAGAGATAGACAAGATTTTTAATTGTTTATTTTGAAATATTTACCTGAAAGTTTCAGTTCATTTTCAAGGCCGGTTTATTCACTTTCTGATACCCTCTCAGGTATGCAATCTAGATAAAAACGCAATCTGTAATCCCATTGATAGGCAAGTTATACGCTGATCAATAGAATTATAGAACGGTACATTTATCAAGCATCAGATAGTTAGCAGCAAGTTTATCTGAAGATTATTAAACTAAGCCTTAGTAATTTTGTTTTTCTTTTTATAAAAAAAGTGTTGATTTTGTCCTTTTCACTAAAGGAAAGAAGTTTTGTTTGCTTAATTTTCTAGAGAAAAATTTTGCTTTATTTTTTATACAATAAACTATTGCTTTTGCAGGTAATTTTTTTTTAAATTGGTCAAATTGATTTGGTCAAATATTCTAGCATCGGTCAAATTGACAACTTTTGACTGGTCATTTGACCGAAGTGCCATTCCTAGTTACGTTACATGCGCTAATAATTCCACGATACTTCCTCCATATTCCCTAATAATGCCTGGATATTTCCTCGAAATTTCTTGATAATACCTCGATATTTCCTAATATTACCCTGATATTTCCTAATAATACTTTTTATTTCCCCATATTATGCAATGTATTTTCTTATATTTCCCTGTGATGACCTAATATTTTCCTGTATTTCCCCATATGTTATTAACCAAAATTTTAATATATTTTCAACGACATAGCTGTCGCATATTGGCGGTTGTGTATTTACCTTTAAGACTAAAAATGAGTGCTAGACAATTTAGAATAGAAATAAATACAAAATGTTGGTTAAATGTTGATTTCCTAACGAGTTTTCCAATAACCAAGCCATCAATGACTGAACCTGAAAGTACAAAGAGTTTAGAGCTTGAAGCAGAAGAACGAGATGAAAAATTGCATACAATGTTATAGATCATGAAAATGGAAATATGAATCTCGAAACTTCTCTCGAATCCGACTTACCAGAAGAAGACATAAAATTTCTTCAGTACTAATAACGATTCATTCGCTAGAATAATTAACAAATTAGAAGTGAAATCCTAACTGCAGATGTCTCTGATTCAGATGAACATCCTAGTGAAATCAAAGAAATTTTTGGGGAAATTTTCATTATTTTGGATTCATATTATGCGGTGTATTATGATGACTCGCAATGGTATCTAGGGCGAGTAATTAACTGCAAATCACAAAAATGTATAATTAAATTTTCACAAGATATTGGATATTTTTGAATTGTCCCAAAGGATAATATACAAGAAATTCATAGATTTTTTTATTGTACTGTACGTAATAAAATACACGTTCATTAATTTTTCAAATTTTCATCTACCCAGTTCTTATAATAGATGCGGATATAGTACCTACAATATTATGGTCATATCAATGCAAAGCTTACCAATTAGACATTGGTTTAGTGGAAAGCAGGTACCTAATCAATTGTCACAATTATTGGGAATTATTGATCAGTGTTTGTCAAATATGGAAATCATTATACATTTGTAAGCATAGTGGTTAACCCCTCGCCTGTGAATGATTTCAATGTAGCTTCAATACTTTGGCATCTGCGAAGCTTCTAAGTCTTTTAACTATGATTTTTCCAAAAATGACACCAGCACACATTTTTTCTCACAACTATGTTAATTCCAATCCGATCTTGATGTAATTATGCTTCAATTGAAGCCAATTAAATTCTCTACAAATCTCCTATGGATGATTTCAATTCAACTTCAATAGTTTTGCAACTGCAAAGCTTCAAAGTCTGAATGCAGTTTTTTGAAAATTTGATTTTTCCCAAACTGACATCAACACACATTTTACCTCACAACTTTGTTAATTTTAATCTGATCTCATTAATATTAGGCTTCAATTTAAGCCAATTCAACTCTCTACAAATCCCCTGTGAATGAATTTAATGCAGCTTCAATAGTTTTGCAGCTACAAAGTCTTTTGACTATGATTTTTCCCAAAATAACACATTTTGTCTCACAACTTTGTAAATTTCAATCCGATCTTAAACAAATTGCCTCTTAAAAATATCGTCACAGTGATTTATAAATTATTAGTTTCAATTTTTCTATGCCCCACTAAATACCCTTATCACTATTGTCTAGTATTTACTAATGTTCCAATTAAGCCTTATCAATTTCTATTTCAAAACTGTTTCAGAACTATTATTTTTGTCCCATTCATTATTATCGTATTATGTCCAGATGTTTTGTACAGTTAATTACTTCTAATTGGTAAATTACTTTTAAATTCGTATTAAATGGGACATGGGATCTACTTTTCAATTGCTACTACATTATTGTGTTGTTGAAAAATAGACATTCCTATATGGACTCAGAATTAATAATAAACTAATTTATTTATTCGCCTATTAGAAGCTGCTAAAATAAATAATTATTTGCCTTATCATTTCGTTTATTGGTTTTTAGATTAATTAGATAAGTTAATTACCTACTACTTGAAAAGTATATTATTAGTTTTGATTTTAATTGTTACAGATCAACAGTCAACTTTTAGTTTATTATGGGTAAATGGACGGGGAAAAAATGTCGTTTACTGTCCATGCTTTGGCTGACCACGATATTTTTTTTTGTGGAAATCGTAGTAGGATACATTACCAATTCCATGGCCCTTGTAGCTGACAGTTTTCACATGCTGAGCGACGTTGCCGCCCTTGTAGTTGCTTTCGTATCAGTACGGGTAAGAATTATAGTTTTTAGTCTTATTTTTCTCATCTCTTATGAAATCTTCCTCCAATACTCATGTTGCTTTAATATTGTTATAGATGTCACCGAAAAAATGGGCCAAAAACACATTTGGTTGGGCCAGAGCTGAAGTTTTAGGGGCTTTGGTCAATGCAGTTTTTCTGGTGGCGCTTTGCTTCTCCATTACAGTGGAGGCGTGCAAACGGTTCATCGAAGTGGAGACGATTCATGATCCTCAACTGTTGGTAGTTGTAGGAGGACTCGGATTGCTGGTCAATCTTATTGGACTGTTGCTTTTTCACGGTAAGATTTTGTTGAAAATTTTGTGATTTTGCTAAAGATTCTACAGCTATAAAATTATTACTCTCTTCGATAAAAATTAACTTTTTCTAGGTTCAACAAGTTGAGTAGATATTGAGCTACTTTTGTCATCCCCTTCCACTACTTCTCGAGGCTATTCTCCTTGGCCAATCACGTATGGCTTTTCCCTTCTTTTTTCCTATTCCACTGATTTATGATGCGTGGCTTTTCCCTTCTCATTAATTAATTGGGTGTTACTTTAATAATTTTAAATTATTACGTACGATTGTTGTTATTGGATTTAACTATACTTTCCTTCCACTCTTTTCTAAGGCTCCTGTCCTTTGGCCATAATCACGTATGACTATTTCCCTCTTTTTTTTTTTATTATGCTCCTGTCACTGAACCAATCAATTTTTAGAAAATTTTCCAGCAAATCAAGATTCGATTGTCATCAAAATTTGAACTATTACCGGATCTTGATTGTCCAGAGCAACATAAATTCTCTAGAAATCTCTTGAAAATGATTTCAATGTAGCTTCAATAGTTTTACAGCTGCAAAGCTTCAAAGTCTTTTGACTTAGATTTTTTCCCAAAATGACATCAACACACATTTTGCATTAGCTATTTTCACAATCTTTTGAAATAAAATCAGGAAAAAATGAAAACTATACGAAAAAAACATGAATTTCTCGTTTTTCTTAAATTTTTTCCTGATTCCATTTGAAAAGATTTTGAAAAACTAATTTCACAATCCCATTGTCACTTTTTCTTCTCTACAAGATGGCGGTATTAAATTTGAAATCCAACGTTTCGTTCCTCTGGAATCATCATCAATTTATTATTTTTTTAAATACGGACCTGCTTTTTTTACCGTGTTATTGAAAAATTATAACCAGTATCGGTTTTAGGATGCCCAAAGATAACAAAATCGCAAATAAAAAATCTAGGTCCGTATTTAAAAAACGTAAGTTGAGGTTGGCCGCCTGAAGACGAAACGTCGAACTCTAAATTTAGTAGCACCATCTTCTAAAGGGGAAAAAAGTGACAATAATGAAGTGACATTTATTTTTAAATTGCTTTTCAAATATGCCCGAGAAAAAATAAAAACGATTTCACAAAATTTCGGTTTTTTTCCGAATATCTCCGGAAGTATTCGGAATCTTTCTAGTTTTAAAACGGCATTCTATTGGTGTTAACGCACTGAAACAAAGTGGACTGTATGAAATGAGAGACACCTTGAACTTGGTATTTTTTCAAAGACTTTATTTGTTATTGCCTGAAACGCTTATGCCACCAACTCCCGAGAGCGTTCAAAGGCGCCTCGCTGGCGGCTGCCTCCCTTCCCCTTGCGTCTCGGTCTCCATCGAAGTCCTGAACTCGCTATCTGGCGACGGGGCTGGATGGTACGGAAGAGTTTTCGCCTTGTTACTAAGCGGATCATTGAGGAATGGCTTTTAAGTGATATATGAAATTTCGATGTGCTTATCGTGATTGAATATAATACTTAACATAGCCCCCAGCCTCAAAGTGAACTTTACATAGTACTAACACTAAATAGTAAATACAAATGTACAGGACTCACAATTAGAAATATGAGTTAGTAACATGAAACCAAATTTATACATATTGTAATGAAATAAATATAAACTCTAATCTAATGTAAATCTACTCCAGGCCCTTTAATAACTAACCTTGAATATAATAACAAACTAAATAGCTACAGTTAATACTACATATAATTTAAAAAAAAATAATAATAAATGCTTACTATTTTTCCTGTAAAGGTAAAAGACATATTTTTACAACTGCACGCTTTATGACACCACTGGCTGTTTTAACAGAGACAACGCGGACAATTTTGTCACTACCAGGATGTAAGGCTGTAATACGTCCAAGCTTCCACTTATATGGGGGAGCATTATCATCATGTATTACAACTAGAGCTCCAACCTTTATTTCTGACTTATTTATTTTCCATTTGGTTCTTTGCTGGAGTTGCCCAACATATTCTTTTGTCCACCTTGACCAAAAATGTTGTTTAATTTGCTCTAGCTGCTCTAAATGTGATAGTCTATTCAGGGGTGTAGTTCTAATGTCAGGAAAATCTATTGTTTGTAATGACCTACCTATCAAAAAGTGAGCAGGCGTCAATGCCTGGACGTCATTAGGATCGGTTGATAATTCAGTCAATGGCCTGGAGTTGAGAACGCCTTCAATTTGCACAATTACTGAGTAGAAGCTTTCGAAGGTTAGTAAGACATTGCCTAAAACACGCCTAATATGGTGTTTAGCTGACTTTACACCTGCTTCCCATAAACCTCCTTGATGGGGGGAATAGGCAGCAATGAAATGCCATTGAATTTCTAGCTTGGTTTGAATAGTTTCAGCCAAATCATTTTTATTCGCTTTAAGGAATTTGCCAAGTTCTTTAAGATGATTATTAGCTCCTATAAAGTTGCTGCCATTATCACTAAAGATGTGAGATGGCTTTCCGCGTCTAGCTATGAATCTCTGGAAGGTTTCCAAAAATGCTGAGGTGCTCATATCCGAGACAAGTTCTAAATGAACGGCCTTAGTGGCTAAACAAATAAACAAACATAAATAGCATTTTTGGACCTTGCAACCTCGGCCCTTGCGATCCTTTATTGAAAATGGTCCCGCATAATCTACCCCGACGTCAATAAAGGGAAATTTCGGATTTATTCGCTGTGCTGGTAAATTGCCCATAATTGGAAACATTGCCTTCGGTTTAAATCGAAAACATCGGACACATTCACGAACAATACCTTTTGCAAGATTCCTACCACTAACAGGCCAGTAAAATTCTCGAATGTGAGATAGTAGTTGCTGTGGACCACAATGTAATAGAGAAATATGATAATGTCTAAAAATCAAGTAAGTCAAGTGATGTTTTGATGAAATAATGAGGGGGTGTTTTTTATCAAACGGATAAGAGGAATGTTTAAGTCTCCCTCCCACTCTTATAAGGCCGTTTTCTAGAAACGGAGTTAAGCTAAGCAGTGTATTATTTTTTCTAATTGCACCAAATTTGGTCAACTCTTCAAATGCCAAGGGAAATGCTTCCCTTTGAGAAATTTTGACCAAGAATTCCATGGAATGGTTAATCTCAATTAATGTTAAAGGTCCGGTTTTTTTATTCTCTGAATTCTTTATGTTGTGACTAAACCTCAAAATATACGCCATAGTTCGTTTAAGACGACTTAACTTAGAAAATCTTTTAAAGGGGAACCATGATTCACCTTGAACTTGTACAAAGCTTTTACTTTCCCTTTTAATTTCGGGTAGGTTTTCAAGTGGTATTTGATTGAAACGAGAAATATCTTGAGGCCAATCATCTCGTGATTCCTTTAACCAACTTGGACCACAGAACCAAATTTCGGATTCACACAGATTCTTGGGGAACACTCCGCGAGAAAGACAATCAGCTGGGTTTGAACTAGTAGGAACGTAGCGCCAATTTGAGATATTCGTCAACGATTGGATTTCTGTCACACGGTTAGCAACAAACGGTTGTAAAAGGTGTGGAGATGTTCTAATCCAAGATAATGCTACTGTTGAATCGCTCCATAAAAAATAATTATCAGTTTGAAGTGTTAAAGAACTCATTGTTTTGGAAAATAAAGAAGCCAAAAGAAGTGATGCGCATAATTCGAGTCTTGGGATTGTTACTGCTTTTATTGGCGCCACTCTGCTTTTTGAGGATAATAGACTAACCGAAACAATATGATCAGCATTGACTACTCGAATATATATACATGCTCCGTAGGCCTTCTGGGATGCATCCGAAAACCCATGAACTTCCAATCTCAAGGGATTCTGACATGACACCAATCTTGGGATTTTTAGATTGTTAATATTTATTAGTTCTGATCTAAAAGATCTCCATTTCTGAGCAAGCTCATCCGGCACCTCTTCGTCCCAAGACAATTTCAACAACCAAAGTGACTGAAGCATCATTTTTGCTAATACAATAGTTGGCCCAAGGAGTCCTAGTGGATCGAAAATCCTCGCAGTTTCAGAAAGGATCAATCTTTTATTAATTTTTGTAACGGGTGAAAGGTTGATTTTAAAGGAAAACGAGTCGTTTTTAGATGACCAGATTAGACCAAGAATTTTGCCACTTTCTGAGGGAGAAAAATAAAATGTATCTGATGTAGAACAATTGGATTTTATACCTTCCATAATGTCTGGACAGTTGGATTTCCATTTTCTGAGCTCAAATCCTGCTGTTTGTAGAATAGATGAAACTTGATTACAGAGTTTGATAGCGCTCGAAATAGAATTACTTCCTGATAAAACATCATCAATGTAAAAATCACGCCTTAATATTTCAGATGCTTCTGGAAATAAGGACGCATTTCTAATGGCCAATTCTTTTATACAACGCGTGGCAAGAAACGGCGCACTTGCAGTGCCATATGTAACAGTGTTTAATGAATAGGTTAAAAGCTCGTTTTCAGGATTTTCTCTCCAAAAAATTAACTGCAGTGGTTTAAACTCGTCCTTAACCTGAATTTGCCTATACATTTTGCATATGTCCGCATTGAACACATAAACGTGTTGACGAAACCTAATGAGAATTGACAAAAGGTCATCTTGCACAGTCGGACCAACCATTTGAATATTATTATAAGAAATCCCAGTTGAGGAAGGTGAGCTACTGTTGAAGACAACTCTAAGCTTAGTTGTGTCACTATCTTCTTTCAAGACGCCATGGTGTGGCGAGTAGTAGGTAATTTCATGATCAAATGGTTGGAATACGGACATGTGATTAAGACTCTTGTATTCTTTCATGAATTCAATGTACATGAATTTAAGTTTTGGATTTGCAGCAAGCCTTCTTTCCAAATGAAAGAATTGCTTTTGAGCATTTTCCTTGGAATCTCCCAATTTACTCATTGATTCCTTTAAAGGTATGGAGACGACAAAACGCCCTTCCGAATTTCTAGAAATTGTGTCACGAAAGTGGGTTTCAGCCT